CTCCAACAACACTGAATTCATCCCGCCAGCGTATCGATCTCAAAGTAGGGGAAGGGAAAGGGAGGTTTAAGGGAAAGGGAAAGGGTCGTAGAACCGCCGCACGGGGGAGGGGGAAAGCCAGCGCAGGTTTGGGGATATAGCAGCAGCCGATATTTGGGGGTAAGGCTGGTGGTTTTTGGGGTTTGGCTGGCGGGCACAATTGGGGAGTTTTATTGTTGGTGGTTGCGTGGGGGTTTCGGGGAGGGGGGTGGAGGTTTAAAGGGTAGCTACCAGAGTGGTGACTATAGGGGTAGGGGAGGGTTAGCGGTCTGACGAGGGAGGTAGCTGGGATGACGGGGTACCAAATCTCTTAGGGCAGTTGGGGTTTTGGCTGGTGGTTTTGTTTTTTTTTTTTAACTTTGTTCTTTTTTTTTAAATTTTGTTTTTAATTTTTTTTTTAAACCAATATGGAGTATATATGCAACACGTGTCACTTTAACAAAAAAAAACATTTGAAAATAACTCGTTCAAACAGTAACCGGTATTTGGGATTGAAGAAAATCAACAACGCCCAAAGTTCGGATTATTCTAGAATAATCTTAAGTTGGGATTATTCTTTTAAAATTCGTGAAAGTTGGGATTATTATTTCTAATTTTTTCAAGAAATAAAAGAAAAAAAATAAAGAATAGAGGAAAACAAAGATAAGGGAAGAGTAGAAAAATAAAGAAAGGAACAAAGATGCAAGTATAACATGTAATTCCCAATCGTCAAACAAGTGATCATTCGACAACAACGTCAATGACCCCAAACACTCTAAGGTGTTACAAGCATATATCCTTGAACCGTTCAACTTCTCCTAAATCTAGTCCTAATCTATGCATCCAAGAAAAGGAAAGAAATAAAAGAAAGAAAACAAGAAGGATCTCATCGGGCTTCCAAGCAATGCTAATAAAAATAAGGCAAAAGGTCAACCACCTTCATTAAGCTCCAAGAATCAATAGCATCATCATCAAAGCCAAGTGAGAAGAAAAATAGAAAATAGATCTATAAACAAAGAAAACGGTTAGTAACTTCAAAACAAAATAAAAGAAAGAAAAACTAAACAAAAAGAAACTACAAGGCAAAAATCAAGTTAGACTACCTAAAAGAAAGAATAAGCAAAGAAAACTAAAGGAACTATACTTTAAACTAGCAACTAATCACCTAAACTACAAGATTTGGATTGAAGGGATTTGGATTCAAGGGTTTTAGATATTAGGGCTTTGGATTCATGGGAGCAATCAACATGCATTATCATCATAGAAATCAACACAACAACAACATTATCATCAAGAAAGAAAGAATAGACATGGAAAGCTCATAGAAACAACAATCAAACACCATCAATAAGATACCAAGGCATGCAATTATCAATCATTGAGGCAAAAAGTAGACAATGAAATTCCTAATAACAATATTGGCCACCGAGACAAACCCTTAAGAAAATAAAGTTCCCCCAAGCTAAACATGAATACATCTCAACGTCCCATTAATACAAAGCAAGCATCACATAAAATAAGGGACGGAGAAAAATGGCACAAAATAAGGGAACTAGATACCACTCGTCCCGGCATTATCATTGTCATCCCTTCATAGGAAAACCCAGATGGGAGACCATAAGGATTCCATCCCCCGGTGTAATCGGGTGGCCAACCATAGTGCCCCTTGAAGTTATCTTGTTTCCAAGGGGCAAGGGGAGAATATTTCACGGGCAAAGCGAGCGGTAGTGGATGATCGGGGTGGACATAGGGGTAGTTAGGATCACCCCTATAATCGCTTCTATCGGGAACACGGTAATTGTAGTTACCGTGCTTATCGAGAAATAGCGAGTCTCGGTATTGGACCCCGGGGGTCCTTGCCAATAATGATACCCACTTGATGGAATAGGACCAAGTTGGGATGGAAAGTATGGGTAGTTACGCACGGGGGAGACCTCCCCACGTTTAACACTTGCATTATACAAATGTTGTTGTTGGAGAAATATTCCTTGTTGCATCTCCGAAATGCCTCTCATTTGATGATATATTTCCTCAAAATCTTGGTCGTACATGCCTTCCAAATGAATTTGCATCCCCTTCATTTGCGCACTTAGAGCATCCATATCAGGATTAGTAAATTTGTGTTGTTGTTTCTCTTAATGTTGTTGTCGCGGTTGTCGTTTTTGTTGTTGTTGTTGTTCATCTTCCTCTTCATTTTCTTCTTTTCCTATTTCCTCATCATCATCATGTGGGAGACGGTAACTTAAGGGAACGTGCCATACATTAGGCACATGCTCACAGTGGTTAGAAGTTAAGGAGGGGTTAGGGAGAAAGTGCCAATGTTTTTTCTCTCTAAGCCAATCGAACAACTCATCATCATCATTCTTAGCCAAAAATTGCACTTGCTTCAATTGTGCAATGTCGAGGTAGAGGGTGCTCGGACTACCCACCAGAGTACAAGAGGGAAAGTAGTGTCCAAGATGAAGGTTGGTCACGAGCCTCGTAACCATGTTACCAAAAGGGATCTCTCCAGACTCCCTAGATTGCAACCCCTTGGAATATCTCAAGAACATGAACCCTAAGTTCAAACGACCTCGGTACTCCTCCATAGTAGCCAACCAAAGTATCCGAAGCTCCAATTGACTCATTTTTCCCAATTCTTGCTTTGGGATTATTGAATACCCCAAAACCCGATGAAGAACTCGAAGACATGGTTGAAAAACTTTGCTTATCGCAGCATACCGAGTAACAAAATTGCCTTCCCCTTGAAATATCAACCCACTAAGACTTTTGGTCATATTCATCGAAAAAGAACTCGGGGTCCAAGACATCCGCCCCCTGATTAAGATCAAGCGCCCCATTGAACTAGGCGAGAGAAAGATCATGGTGAATGTTAAAAACCTGAAAATGGGCCTGGTAGTTGCCGCCTTCTACCGCCTCGCATGAAACCGTATCCAAAAATTCCAAAGTTGGCTCAAAGAAAGTAAGGTAACATGTGTTAACGAAGGTGCTCATGCGAAGATTGCTGAACAACTCCCTTAAATCATCATCAATCCCCAATTTGAGCATATCCGGTTGAAAGTAGTGACGAGAGGGATTAAGGGATCGATTCTTTTTTTTATCTTGGCATATCAATATTCTTGTATTGGGTCATTGATTTTTATCTTGGGAAGAGGAGTAGGTCTTTGTGTTTGAGAAGTAGATGGGTTTGAAGAAAGTTCTTAAATTGTGATGGTGGTTTTTCGTTTTTTAGAGGAGAGGGCTCGAACAAGCTTTGACATTGTGTTTCCTTAATATTAACCAATTTAAAATCCAATTAATCAACTCCACAAACACCACAATAAAACCACAAAACACTTCCAATCGCCAAAATTGCAACTCCTTAATCAATAACACCAATCACAAAAGTAACAAATTACTACCAAAAATCCAAATTTCCAACTTCTCACAATCACCACCAAATGAACCAAAGTTGCTACACAAACATATAACAACACAATGTGAGCGAAAATCAATAAACAACAAACACACATAATCAACAAAAAATCATATTCAATCAACAAATTTATCAAAACAGATACTACTACTATTCACAACCGTGAACAGTAAAATTCTTGCAACAATATGATATAAAAATGTAAATAAGAGTTTAAGAAGATTATAATACAATAATAGAAGTAATATTGAACATGAACTAGCCACCAATTCCCACCAAACCAAAAAGCCCCAAATTTGGTCTTCAATGGAGGAGAGAGATTGGAGGTTGATAATTGAAGAAAGTAGTATGATTTTTATTGTTAAGGATGAATTTGTAGAAGGAATTTGATGATTTTATTTTATAGATTTATGATCATTTAAATATGGAAATTTGATGAACAAGGCTTAGGGTTTTGTTTCTTAGAGTGGGAAGGGAGAATGGTGCGTGCAAGGTTGAGGGTGAAGGGGAAATGAGGGAAAGAAAGGAAGAAAGAAAGAAGATAAGGAGGCTCGGCCTAACAAGGTGCGCGGCCGCGCGACCTGGCTGTACGCCCGCGCCAATTTTGTGCGTGGCCGCGCCTCTGCCTGGCACGCCCATGCCAGCTTGGCTGCCTTCTTGAAAGTTTGCTCGGTGCGTTCTACTGTGGGCTCATTGTCCAATATCATCCCGGGATTATTGAATCCACTAAAGATGGAAGTTTAAAACATGATGAGAGTGGGTTCAACATCCAAAAATAGTTAGAGCACCACAATGAACCCACCAAGTTCAAATTTACTTCAAATTTTAGCACAACTTTCCCTAACTTACCTCACTACATTACCTTACCCTTTTACCTCAAAATTCGATAAAATCGAACATATTCTCATCAAAAACACAAAAAACCTTTCTAGTGCTCATGCTCGCTTGAAATAATCCAAATCCCATGAATTTAACCTATCAATCCAAATAGAAAACAAGTGAAAGAAAAGAAAAACAAAATTAAGAAAAATAGAAATCAAAAGAAAAGAGTTAGAAAACCGAGTTGTCTCCTGGGAAGCGCTTGCTTAAGGTCCTTAGCTTGACCCTTCCTCCAAATCATAGAGGGTCAAAGAACAACATCTTGTTCAAATTGTGGAGAGGGTTAAATCATTGCAAAGTTTGGGAAAAATCTCATCATGCACCATGTCATCTTTAATCATAGAAACCAGATCAAACTCTTTAGACTTCAACTACCTCTTATTTTTCTTGGAAACTCTTTTTTCCTTCCTTAATTTCTTCTTCCTTGGATCTTTGAGATCCTCATGTCCACCACTTGAAAAACTATTTTATTCATCCTTCAAAGAAAGCTCAAACCAAGAAGGCATTTCAAACTCATTCTCAAGCTTTGAGGGATCCTTGTCTTCTTCACTAACAACCTTTCTTTCAATACTTGTAGAACATTATCACAAGCTACAAGCATATTGTTAGTAGAAGACACACACATGGAATCATTATCATTCGAAGGTAATGAGTTTATGTACATATTTCCTTGCTCATAAGTTAGATACTAATGCATCGACTTGAGCTTAAAACTTGAGTTATCATTATCAACACACAAGGTAATCATGCCACCTTTCACATCTATCAAAGCACCCGAAGTTGCTAAGAATGGCCTCCCTAGAATTATAGGAATGTTGTCATCTTCCACAATCTCTAGCACAATTAAGTCAACGAGAATAGTGAACTCTCCTATCTTGAGGGGTACATCCTCAATTTTACCCTTTGGGAACTTAATAAACAGTCGACCAATTGAAGGGTCATGTTTGTTGGAAGGAGCTCACCTAACTTAAGTTTCTTGAAAAGGGAATAAGGAATGATGCTAACACTAGCACCAAGATCACAAAGGGCATTTTGAAACAATTTCACATTAATATTGCAAGGAATGAAGAAATTCCCAGGGTCTTTCAATTTTTGGGGTAAGTCATTATGGATAAGGGCACTACAACATTCCCCCAAACTCACTGGTTCAACCACATTGCAATCTCTCTTATCGTTCAAGATTTTCCTTAAGAAATTTAGAATAGTTTGGCATTTGCCCCAAAACATCAGTGAAAGGAATAGAAAGATGAATTTTCCTAAGCATCTCGACAAATTTTCCAAATTGTTCATCCAATTTGTACCTATTAACTTTTGGGGGTATGGAAGTTTTGGTTTGAAATCCTCATATTTCTTCCTCTCTTTCTCCTTTGTCTCCTCATTAGAACTCTCACTCAATTCTTGAACTTCCTCTTCGCTCACACTCTTTGACACATTGTTCTCATTTTTCTCACTTGAGTCACTCCTCTTCTCATCCTCCTCACTCATCCTAGAAAATTTCTCTTCAAGAACTCTCCCACTCCTTGTGGTAATAGAATAAACGGGTTTCTTAGGATCAACTCCTAGAAAAGGTAATGTAGAAGGGCTAGCATAATCTTTTAAGGTATTGGCTAATTGAGTGATTTGGGTCTCAAGCATTTTGTTGTGTGTCATCATCTCATTAAACTTCTTGTCACTCACCGCCATGTAAGTGCTCAAATTTTTTTTTTTTTGGTTTTCAATGATCTCCTCTAAGTTAGTTCTAGAAGATGGGGGTTGAGCATAAAAACTATCACTATTTCCTTGAGTTCTTGGAGCAAATCCGGATGGGGGTCCCCTTTGATTGTTGTTTTGAAAATTGCCCCTATTTTGATTGTTCCAATTACCTCGGCCTTGATTTTTGCCATAATTTTGGTGTTGGCCACCAAAAACCTTGAGATTGGCCTTGATTTCCAGACCCTTGGCCTTGGTTTTGATTAATATAACCTTAATTATTATATTTACCTCGGAAACCTTGATTTCCTTAGTTCCCATAACCACCGTTGTTGTAGTTATCAAAACTCCCTTGTTGCTGAGCATTCCTAGTCCTAAAATTCCTTAGATATTCATATCATTGTCCATTGTTATTGTTGGAAACAAAATTCACTTGCTTAAAATCATTGTTTTCAACATAATCAAAATTCTTAAAAGCATGAGAAGAATCATGGTCATATGACCCACAAACATCACAAAATACACATCCACTTGGAATATTACTTGAAGTAGAAGGAGGAATAGACTTAGAAGATGTGCCTCTCCCTTTAATATGGGAGGGAAGATTCGGTGCAATGGAAGAGGAACTCTCTAGCTTGGACTGGATTAATGTCATCTCCTTCCCCAAGTTTGAGATTTGGGAGGACAAGTTATTAATTGCATTAAGATGATCAACCGAGTAGACCGTTGCGCCACTTTTGCTTGTAAACTCTCTCTCTCTCTCTTTCTCTCTCTCTCTCTCTCTCTCTCCCTCTCCCTCTTGCCAATCCATGTAGTGACGAACTAGATCCTCTATAATATCAACAACTTCTTCCTTGGTCTTGTTCATAATCAGGCCTCCGGCTCCGGCATCAAGACATGACTTCCCTTGGGGACTCAACCCTCCATAGAAGATTTGTATGATTTGGTAGGTCGGTATTCCAAGGTGAGGACATTCTCGTTGATATTCCTTGTATCTTTCCCAAGCCTCATACAAACTCTCGCTAGGATTTTGCTTGAAACTTTGGATTAAATTTCTTGCCTCGAGAGTCTTCTTTTGAGGATAAAAGCGGGAAAGAAACTCTTTGGTGACCTCATCCCAAGTTCTAAAGGAATTAGGCTTCACTTCCTTATCTAGCCACTCCAAATATCTTCCGATTAGAGAGAATAGGAATAGCTTGAGCCTTATGAATTCTTCAGAGACCCCAATGACCTTGATTGTGTTGCAATACTTTTCAAACTCTTTGAGATGATTTAGTGGGATTTTGTGCTTGGCACCACTAAATTGCCTTCGTTCAATCATTGTTATCATCGCCGGCCTTATCTCAAAGTCATTAGCCAATGTTGTTGGCGGTGCAATACCACTCTCAAATCTATAGGCACTGGGAGTTCCCAACTCCTTTAAAGAAACCCTTGGTACTTCACCCATGCTTCCTTGTTCTTCTTCTTGAAATTCTTCTTCACTTGAAGAGCTAGAACTGAAGGATCGTCTAGAAACTCTTATCCTTGTGATTGTTCTCTCAATCTTCGGATCAAAAGGTACTAAAGTCCTTCCTCTTGTTCTATGCATACAATCTCAAAGAAACAATTAGTAGCACGGCTACAAGTGTAGTCTAAAAGAGAAAAATATTTTTGTATTTTTGAAATGAAATGAAATAGACTCAACAACAATAGAAAACAACTACGCCATTCCCCGGAAACGGCGCCATTTTAACGACAAGTGGAATCTAGGTCGTTGAAACTAAAATTCCTCCAATCAAACTAGTTTATAACCAAACCTACACCTAGTATTAGGGCAAGCTTGGGTCGAACCACTATGAATGGGGGGAAGTTTGCTACGGCCAAAGTCAAGCTATTTCGAAACGTAAGAGGTAGTGTAGGTTAACTAAATTCAACTAATCAACAAGGTAAATCAATATATCAAGACACTAAGGATTTAGGATCCACATATTCTTGCAAAGGACACACACTAATAGGGTTGGAGATATATTAATTCGAGTATTGGGAGGGAAGATAGACAATGCAATCAAAGAGCTAAACAAGCTATCTCCTAGAGGTCTAACTAGCTCCAACTACGAAAGAATCTAACTAAGAACGTCATAAACCAAGCTCAATCGACAAATGTGAGCTACAAATCAATGGTCCGTATCAATATAGGCACACAATGTTATCTAGTATGACAATTAAAGTTAGCTACTCTTTAACTAATCACACACGTGCACAAAATCAATCAACCAATTAAATCACAATGCTAAACCAATAAAAAACTCCCAATTAGCTATGATCCGTCACTCAAACATGCTTCACCACATCTCTAGCTAGTAAACTACTCACAATTCATGGAAGAAATTTAAGATCAAAACTAAGCTAATCAACAATATCATCATCATCGTTTCAATCAAACAAATTCAATCAACTAATCAACAAACTTGAACAATCAACAAATAAATGAAATCAAAAGCTAAAGATTGCGTTAAAGTAAAATAACTCCTTACAAACTTTGGTGAAATCAAAGGAAAATGTGCTTAGAATCATCAATCATTGTAGACATCTACTTTTGGTATACTGTCCCGACAGGAAGTGCAATAACGATAAATAAAATTATCTTCGTGTTGGATCAAAGTGAGGAATGCTTATGGAGGGCTGGCTAAACCGCAAAGACAAAAAAGGACTAGCCTAACCTAAAAACAAATAAAATCAAGGTCCAATTAACTAAACCTGATCATAATTAGGCTTAAGCCCGTGCTTAATACCCAATAATGACGGATTTAGGCGCCTAGGTTAAATTTAAAGCTGCCGCTAAAAAATCCGCGCGCATCTCAATGAGTTGCGCTGGTCTAGCGCCCGCAACTACTTCAGTTATGCGCAACACCCAACGCAACTTATAGAGATGCACTCGCGGAAGATACAGAATTTTGTAAAAATATAAAATCGAATCTTACCATAAAGCCGCGCGCAAGACATTCAGTTGCGCAGCGCAACTAAATCACTTGCGCTGGGATGCCGCGCGGAACTCATCCAGATGCGCGCGACACCTGCGCAAGACATTCAGTTGCGCTGCCCATGGGCAGCACAACTAAATCACTTGCGCTGGGATACCGCGCGGAACTCATCCAGATGCGCGTGACACCTGCTGTGGCAGAATTCTTAAAACCCTGATTGCAACCATTACCTATAAATAGGGGCTTAATACAAGGCTTAAACACACAAAATTAACCTAAAATCCTAGCAGAAACTCCTTTGAACTTGTGCTACCAAACCCTCTTGTCCTAAACACTCACCCCTCTTAATATTTGTTACAACGGTGGAGGTTCCTGAACAAGAAGGAGTCCATAAATGTTTTAAATGGAGACTTAGTGAAGAGAAGTGGTAAATTCCCTAGCACTTAGATAAATCACATATACTTTTCTTATTTAAAAGAATTTTAATCAACAAAATAGTGTTGTTTGACCACTTTAAAAGGATATTTAATTAATCAATTCCACATAGTATCTTTCGTTAAATAAGATTAGAATTCAATAATTAATTTATTGATTGATCACTTAAGCTAAGGCGAATCTTGTTTACTTTTGCTCCTTTCACGAATTTGAATTAAATAAAGAATAACGACTTTGCAATGTAATTCCTAAGTGATTAATGCGTGTAAATAAAGAATAACGACTTTGCAATGTAGTTTTAGGTATCGTGCTACATATATTGTTTGGTGATGAAATTGTTAAAAAAGCAAGAGCTAGTAGAGGCCACACTAGGGTTAGAATAGAGATTCTCCTTTAAAGGGAACGTTATTTTAGTACCCTTGCTCCTGAACTTATTTCTGGTTTATGTAGGCCAATTTGGGCATGGGTGAACTTATGATTTGTGCTAATTATCCCATGAACTGCACCTGGAAAAAAGGCATGAACGAGGTTTATGGGTTTTCCAAAAACTAATTGGCGACTCCTACTTGTTTCTTACAAAAAAGCGTAATGATAGAATCAATTCTAATTCAAGGTCCCCCAAAAAGTCAGGAATTCAAATCATAATACACCCTAACAAGTATAAAGTCCTAGGCTTTTAAAGGGCCTTGGGTATCTAAGGAAGGATCCCTTACGATGAGAACACCCTCCTTACAGTGGAGACTCCACTGGGGACTTAGAGGTTACAAGATTAGTTCTTAATTATGGTCCAAGGTTTCTAACACTAGGTTACCTATGGGTTATAAATTAACTTGGATAATCTCTAATTAGAGAGCGAGACTTGAACGCATAATATCTTCCTTTTGCACAAAAGTAAAAACCAAACAAGCAACATTGCATCATGATAAATCATAGCACACTTTAATGTTTGGGGATTGGCTCATTGACTAGGGGTTGCCAACACTAGGTTTTTATCCCGAAATCAATAACAATCATCCAACCCATGTCGCCAACAAAATGTTGGGAGAGCGATGCCATGAGTCAACATGTTGAGTGATTGATTTATGCATCGTTTCTTAAGGTATGGTACCTTTGGACACCCAAGCCTTTGACCTTAGAATTTCATTATGTGTATCTTGGCTTATGGTATGCTTATGTGATTACGTGACTAAATGCAACGTGTTAAGATAGCTTTTTTTTCCTCTTTAGTTTGGTTTAGGTTCCCAATTACGAAGTTGTCTCTTTGTAATTTTGAGTCATATTCGAAGGGTAACATAAAAAAAATCGAAAAAAAAATATTATGGTAAATATAAAAAAAAATGCTTAAATTAAAAAAGCAGGTGGCGCGCACAACTCAATGAGTTGCACGACCCCAGCCAACACAAGTGATTCGGATGCGCGTGCCAGCCACGTGTAGCCTAGTCACTTGCGCGCGCCTACTGTTACGAGCCATTTTGACTTTTGCGTAAACAAATTGGTTCGTTTAAACAATATCTTCATTGAAGAATTGTTTAAAGGTGATGTTATCCGTTTGAATATATCTTGCGTTCTTTCCTCTTTTTTTTTGTCTTCTAAACAACTGTATCGATTTAATTATCCTTTCGTACTTCTTTTAGATCTGGTTTTCAAGCTTGGGAATGAAGACTCCCAGGCACTCGCATTCTACGTTTACCATCAAACAATCCACCCCTTTCAAACCACCTTCCCTCGACAACTAGTTCTAGTCCAGCAACAATGTCGACCATTAAGCAACTTCAAGAAGAGATTGCTCGCTTGAGAGAAGAAAAGGCTCAAGAGGCCGAGGAAAGAAGAATTAAGAAACTTGAAAGGCTAAAAAGAAAAATGCCGAGACTTTAACCTTGCAACAAAAGATGGAACAATTATCCGTCAAGGAAAAATCGTTGGAGAAGCTTGTTCTTCGTTCTACAATGGGAAACAAGTACTTCGACGCAGAAAATTTTGCTCCTCCCGCAGGACTTGCTTTACCGGAAAAGTTCGTAGCTACGGACTTGCCAACATTTTAGGTGACCAATAATCCACAAAACCACTTAATGTGTTTTGCTGGCACCATGGCATTAAAGGGAGTTGATCATAAGCTTTATGCTTTGACTTTCCCTTTATCTCTAGACCCAACCGTGAGAGTGTAGTACTATGAGCTAGATCCAAAATTCAAAACAACATGGGAAGATGTAGTTTCGGCTTTCATTACCCAATATGAGAGTAACGTAGAGTTCAAATCGACTCTAGGTGAACTCGAAATGCTTAAGCAAGGCGACGATGGAGGTTTCCTTGGTTTTTATGGTAGATGGCAAGAAAAGGCGGCTCACCTTGCCCAAAGGCCACCTGAACTCGAGTTAGTACAAAAATTCATTGACAATCACTACTACCAAAAGGGGAATAAGAAACGCAAGATACAAAACGGTTAACGGAGATAAGCGTTTTGTAAACAAAAAAGAACACTTTTCTCTTCCAACCGTTGTATATGTTAAAGAAAATAGAACGGTTAGCTTATCCACCCGTTCTCTATTTTATTAGCTTATTCAATCGTTCTATTTGTTGAAGAATATAGAACGGTATTTAATGACAACTGTTGTGCGTCTTTTACCCTATAACTACTACCACCTCCTTCTAAGGCCCTGTTCTATTCACCTTAAAAAAAATATATTAAGTAAAAATAATTTCAGTTCAGTAAAAATAAGTTCAGTTCAGTAAAATTAATTTCAGTTCAATAAAAATAATTTTAGTTTAGTAAAAATAAGTTTAGTTCAGTAAAATTCAATTTTCTTAAAGAAGAATTATAATAGAAAATCAGTAAAAATAATTTCACTTCAACAAAAATGATTTCAGTTCAGTAAAATTAATTTAACTTCAGCAAAAATAATTTATGTTCAGCAAAAATAATTTCAGTTCAGCAAAATCAAGGTGAAGAGAATATGACCTAATAAATGGTTGCCTTTTTCTTCTCTTCCCAAAAATTCTCTCAATGATATGCTATTACTCTTTCCCTTTAAAACAAGAAAATATAGGCAATCTCTGACCTTTTTAATATTTAGAATTTTTAGATCTTTAATTTTTGCTCCCAATCGTAGTTTTATATTCTCTTAAATCCTAAATTCCCATTTCCGTTGCTATTTTAAGGAAATGGAAAATTATGGTTTGGACAACCACATATCAAGAAGAGGCTTCAAAGGTTCGATTATATCTTTCAATTGATCGAAATTGTTTAATTATCTTGAAATTATTTGACATGATTAAGGTTCAATTATTATCTTATTGTGCCAAAATCGAAAAGAGTTTTTGTATTTATTTGATCGGCAATTTTAGTGCCAAAATCTATTTTTATCAAAACTATTATGGTTTAGATCTGAATTGTTGATTGTGCTTGATTTATCATAATTAGATCTTGATTTTGAGGTTAATTTTGAAAGTATTTTTTCAAGGTTTATAAATAAATTCATGCTGAGAATATAGTTTTATTATTTTACATAGTTTGTTTCAATTCATGGTATTACTCGTGTTGTGCAGTTCGTCCATGTCTACGGTGACCCGATTGGCAGAACTTGCGGCGGTCACCCTTGATAGATCGTAACTGATGTGCTTTAACTCCACTTAAATGCTGGTTCAACCGTATGCTTCTTTGCTTTTTTGTATGTAATTTTAATTTTAATACGTAGTATATAAATTTGGGGTTGGCCTTTATTTATTCTAAATTCTTTTATTTACACATTCATTTTTTCGTCTTCTGCTTTTCGACTTGGAATGTTTGGGGTACAATCCACAAGATTTAGTTTAATTGTTGGACTTGATTATGGATTTGAGTTATTGATATTTAGAATTGATATTTTTTAATCAGTTGTGTAATTGTTCCTTTTTCTTTAATGCAGGTTAATAAAATAAAGATGAGAAATTCAAGTACATACAAATCGTTTAAAGAACTATTTTTTTTCTTTTTCCTTTTTTTTTTTTTTTTTTTTTTTTTTTAATTTCCTTTGATGTCTTGTTATTCCATTTTATTCTACATTAATTATATAAGTTTCTTGTAGCTAGTGCGACATCAAATTTATGTATTCTGTATTTTTTTTTTTCTATTTATACATTAGATTTTGAGTATTGTGCATTTTTTTCAAAAAAAAAAAAAAAGTAGAATAGAGAACCGTTGGCTTAAAAAACCGTTCTCTTTGGAAAAGGAAAATAAAACGGTTAAGCAAGATAACCGTTGTCTTTTCCAACATTATTCCCATATTTTAGGAAGGGAAAAGAGAACGAGTGTGTCTAACAACGGATAAAAGAATAAACGTGTCGTCAATTGTCTATCCCTAGATCAAATACAATTTATACAACCTAAACCAACCTAATACGAGTATAAGCTAAGTCAAGGGTCGAACCCAAAGGAGTGAGTCGGTATTAACTATAGTCTAAGTCAAGCTACTTCAAAGATTGTAGTGAGAAAATGGTTGGTACTATGGAAACAAAGCTAGATTAATCAAGTAATTCAAGAAACTAAACACTAGGGATATAGGTTCCACATGCAAGTTCAATAATCATGCTAATTGATAATTCATTCAATTGATTCAAGTATTGCAAAGGACAAACAATAGTAGCAATCAAAAGAATTCAAAAGCTATCTCCTATAGGCCAAGCTAGGGGTCACTATGAATGGCTAATCAAGGAAAATCACAATCAAACTCAATCAATTAAAGCAATTCTCAAATTGATGGTTTATGTCATTAAGAATTGCAATGCAATCTAGATTAATCTTATAGGTTGATCACTCCTAATCTAATTAATCACATGCAAAACTATGTCAACCAATTTAATTGCAACAATTCAATCAATCAATGATCATCAACTAGCACAAATCATCAATCAAGCATGCTTCCCCTTCTCCCAAGCAACTAATCTACTCACTAATCATGGTGCAAGAACAAATCACTAGAAATTGCATTGATCATCATTCTAAATCAAAATCAAGAGAAAACAAAATCAACTACAATATCAAATTCAAATCCAAGGAAATCAAACAATCAAACATGAATCTAAGACAAACAAGTAAAGAGATGAACTAAAAGAAGAGATTCTCACTAATATTAATGATTGAAGATGAAGAAATCAAAACTTGATTGAACCAATGTTGAAATACAAATCCAAATCCAAGAAATTCTCTCTAACTTCTCTCTAACATCTCTCTCTAAAACTAAGCTAATAAAAATTATCTAAAAGTTCGTTTTTAAAAGGAAAAATTGCTCCCATTAATCTGAACTTTGCCTCGTCCGCCGAAATTAATCCCAACTTTCGTTTATTATCTACCACTCCCAACTTTAGGAGGTATTAATTTCTATTGCACCCAAATGACTTGCAACTGGTTAATCAGGTAAACATTGCTGACTTGTGATTAATTGCACACGTGTCGCAACCGGATTGGTTAAAAAATAAAAAAACAAATAAAAAATGAAAAAAAATACTAAACCACCCAATACCACAGCCCGCAGCCACCTGCCAACCATCCCTCTTCCCCCGGAGCACCGGCCTCCTAAAGCAGCAGCCCCATGCCCCCATCCATCTCTCTTCTCTCGCGCACCAAAGCAGGGGAAAGGAAAGGGGCGTCCGCGGTGGCAGAGGCCACGCCGGCGACGAACTCGAATTGGGGTTGATTCGAAGTTTGAATTTGCGGGCTGCTCTATTTGAATTGTCAAACTTGAGGGCGGTTGCGGGTCATGGTGAGGCTATGGGTTGCTAATTGCGGCTGCTGCTGTGCGAATTTGGGGGGTGTGAGTTGCGGGTTGGTGTAAGAACAGGGGGTTGTGGTGGCTGAGTTTTGCGGTGAAGGAGATGGAGAAGGGGGGCGAAAACGGCGGGGGCTGGTGAAGATTGGGTGGGTTTGGAGGGTGGGGGAGTGGTGGGCGCCGTTTTTTCGGCAGCGGGGGAGGGGTTTTCGGGGTGGGGGTGTTTTTTCCGGCGGGGTAGGGGTGGGGGTGGGGTGTTTACCGAGATAGGGGTGGTGTGCTGACTTTGGTTTTTTTTTTTAATTTTTGTTTTACTTTTTTTTCTTATTTTTTTTTTTAGTTTTTTTGGACCTATCACGTGTTGACACGTGTCTGGCGACTTGCTATATCAGGTTAGATGACCGGTTGGGTGCAGTAGAAATTAATACCCCCTAAAGTTGGGAGTGATAGATAATAAACGAAAGTTGGGATTAATTTCGGTGGACGAGCCAAAGGTCAGATTAATGCGAGCAATTTTTCCTTTTTAAAAAGGAATTACAAGTGTATTTATAAGCAAAGAAGGAAAACAGGATCCCCACGCCCTCTCTAAGAAATCCCGCGCCCGCAGGGAAATGGGTACAAAACCCACAACAAACTCCGCGGGCTATCTGGGAAACACTCGCGCCCGCGGGTCTTCTAGCCCGCGCCCACGGCAAGGGCGCGACGAGTCCCCTGCTCCCAAAGAGTAATTAGAGGGTCGCGGTCTCTCTAATATGGAGCGCTCTCTCCAAGCTTACCGCGCTCGCGGGGAGCCCGTGGCCAGATTGCGGTGAGTTCCTGGTCGATTTTGGCTAATTTGGTGCAACACAACCCGCGCCCGCGACAACCTGGTAAAGGCTGACGCCCTCTCCAACGCCTCTCCGAGCCCTCTCCAAGCCCTCGCTGAGCAGATTGCTTCCTCCTTGCTTAGTCAATATAGCTCATCTTGATCCCTTTGCAAAGACAACTCCTAGTTACCTACAAGAGCAAACAAAGGAAAGGAATAAAAAGAAAAAGGGCCAAATAAAAGGAAAACTCAAAGAAAGAAGGAAAGAGAGGAACTAAAAGAAAAAGGACCAAAAATAAGAGAAGAAAGCATGAAAAAGGGATTAAATCATCCTAAAAGACTACCCTATAAGTGCATTAAATGACACTCATCAAATTCCCCTAAGCTAGACTTTTGCTCATCCCGAGAAAAACAAAGGCTAAAAAGGAAAAAGAAGAGCTTATTCAAATTAAAAAGAAAAAGAGGGAGGTGAGAATATACACTAACTCACTTTCGTACGAATCACGGTCAATTTTAGCAACAAAATACAAGCCATTTAAACCCCAAGATCGCCCTAGAGGACGAGTGATGCTCTCGTAAAGCTTTCCTAGAGATAACCTATAACTCTTATTAAGCAAAACAAAAGAAGCAAAAACGAGGCAAAATACAAGAATAAAGAGCAAAGTTTGAAAAACAATTAATCAAAAAATCTTTGTGAAATGGACTTTACAAAGTGACTATAATTCAAATGAATAACAACCTTTCTAAAGTTAATTATGGTATGCACGTTATCAGATACCTAAGGTTGTTTGAAACATAAATATGCTAAGCATATATAGGAACTAGTTGTCACACTCCACTTTCATCCCAAACGATCTTACTGCGTTCCCCCTACTAATCTCATATCTCCCCTTAGTGAGCATCTCATAGGTTCCGCGAAGGAACCGGAAAAAGATCAAATTTTGGGCTATTCGACATCTTGATTATGCATCCCCTTTCCCTATGCTATAACCCATGATTCCCTCCACCGATGATTGACTCAACCCCTAGGTCAGAAAGTCTTCCCAAAGGTTGTAAAGTAAGGCAAAAAGGGTTAAGGTAGGCTAAATTTAAAATTTGGTGGTTAAACTAAATTGTGAAGCAAAGATTGCGCATTTCCTTACACCATAACCAAACAATCACCAAACAAAAATAGCAACACCCCCAAGCTAATTCAAAGCTAAGATCACAAACATATACACAAAAGGTGTGAGAACGCTTCCCCCTAAGCTTAAATAGAGCAATGCTCAAAAAGGAAGAATACTCACATAAAATTATTTTTGAATTTTTGCATTTATTTATTTATTTTTTATTTTTATTTTTTGTCTTTAGTAGTGCTTTGTCCTCGCCTCTTTTAACTTTGGACGACTTTTATTTTCAAACTTGCATTTATTTTGTCCTTGCCTTTTTGAATTGGGACAACTTTTTACTAGACATTTGCCATTATTCACAATGTATATATGTAGGGAATAGTTTCAAGCCTTTAAAAATCCCACTAACTTGAACCCCACTGTGATCATACACTAAAGTACGGTGGCGTCCAAAAGGGAAGAAGATAGAGCAAAAGAGTCGCCAACAAGTTTTTAAGGAACTTGTAAACCGTTCATAGGATGAAGGTTACACCCCTTAACGATCCAAGAGATCGTCAACTCCATAAGGTCATGAACCAAATAAGGGTTCGGGGATGATGGTACAAATCCAACCTGAAAGAGATTGAACCTGCCCTAATAATAGGCCTCTACTTTGTTCTGATCGTATTCATGTGCGCTTTTTAATTAACATGCAATCAATAGGATTAACCCTAAACCTGTTTAATCTATGTTGGTTGAATTTTAATGCACAAATAAACTATCATTGGCGATCACTTGAATTATAATCACAATTAACTTAACAAGATTATTAAATATCTTATTAAGCGTGGTTGCAAGTACCAATTCCCTTTAAACATGCATAAAAGGTGATCAAGCAATAACAAATAAAATAATATGCATATCAAGAAACATAATAAATAATCATAATAAATATCATGAATAAAATTACAATCATAAATAAAATAATCATCATCAAAATAATAATAATCATAATCATAATCATATTCATAATAATATTAAAGCATAATAAAAATAGCAAGATCCTAGACATGATACTAACAAGATTAATAACAAACCCTAGCATGTCACTAAGCACTAAAAATCAAATCTTTAGCCCTAACATGATACTAACAATCATAAATATTAGGAAGAATATAGGAAGCATCGTACTTTTAATCATACTTGATATTAAAGTTACCCTAGACATGATACTAGGAATCAAAATAACAATCCAAGCACGATATCTACATCATAATATCAATTAATCAATTAAAGCACTTACTTGGATGCCTCGTACCTCTTTCTAATAACAAAATACACACGTTAGTAACTTCAAGGAAAATAATAAATCAAAACAATTAAATTAAATAATTGAAAGAAAGATTTGGGACCAAACCCTCAGAAATTAAACCTTTCACGTCTAGGGCGAAGGCAACTTCGAATATGGCTAGGTGTATCAAGATCTTGTGAATG